AAAAAAAAAAAAAAAATTCAAATCTGTCCAGTTATCTGCCACACAAGGACTGTAGAAACTATCCCACTGATCTTTAAAAAGAGGATAAACCCAAACATCCATCAATGGATAAATAAAATGTAGAATGTGGTTTATATATACAAAGGAATATTATACAGACTTAAAAAGGAACAAAATTCTGGCACATGCTACCACATTGATAATTGTTGAAGACACAGTGCTAAATAAAATAAGTTAGATACAGAAGGACAAATATTGTATGATTCCACCAGTAGGAGGTGTCTAAAATAAACCAATTTACAGAAACAAAAAAAATGGAATGGTGGTTTCCAAGAAAGGAGAAAGGAATTGGGATTTGTATTAGGTCTGTGCAGAGAAAGAGGATCAATAGGATGTGTACATACGTAGAAATAGATTTATTATAAGGAATTGACTTTTATGATTATAGAGTCTGGTAAGTTAAAATCTGGAGTGTGGGCTGCCAGACTCGGCTGGCAAGTGGAGAACTGGGAGAGTTGATGGCTTAGTTCCAGTCCATAGACGGCTGGAGAACTCTTTCTTTTTTATAGGGAATGATGAAAGAAGAAAGAGAATTCAGGCAACAAGACTGAACAAAGCACACATTGGACAGGTACAGAAGGGCAGGTAGCTGGGGTAGAGGGAAATGGTCTCATTACAATCCTATACGATCTTGTGCAGTTCCATTAAGCTTGTGAATCATTAGCTTATAACCAGGTAGTTAAGGACTTGGAGTGGAACCAGCAGACGGTGCATGTACATAGACTTTTACACCTATGCCTCAGGGAATAGTTATACAACTGGTGTAACAAGTGTAGCCAAAAAAATTGCTTACTTCTGGTTCCGTTGATCATTCTCCTTTTGACTTTGCGTAAGTCAGGTGGCCAACTATGGATTTCTTTCCTCTCTGTGCCTCAATAAAATAGAGGCCAGGACTATTATTACTCTGAGGCATCAACCTCAAACTCTAAGTCAGTGGGCAGGGCTGCAGCCCTGACTTCAAAAATAAATAATACAGCCGAAGTTGTTTCATCTTTGCAACCCTTGGGAGATCCCTTGGGAAGTGTTTCCATCTAATGAGCCATGATCACAGCACAGGGACTGAGCGACAGCCTCAAAGGCACTGAAATCAGTAAAAAGATTAGAGTTAAAAAAGTTAAACAAGATGGAAGGATTCAGTTTATCGTAGAATGTTTTAGGTTTATATGCTGTGTAACACATCACCACAAATTATGTGAGCCGCAATGTAAAACAACACACTTTTATTATTTCAAAGTATCTGTGCGTCAGAAGTGTGGGCACAACTTAGTTGGGTCCTCTGCTTGATGTCTCACAAGGCTGCAATCATGGTGGCTGCTGGGCTGTGCTCTCATCATGCATTCCCAGGTGACCCTGGGAAGATTCACTTGTAAGCTCTCTCAGGCAGAATTTATTTCTCCATAGCTGCAGGATCCATTTAAGCTTGCTTTTAAAAATCTAGACAGAGAGATAAAGATGGAAATAGGAGAGGGAGAGTGACTTTAGCATAATAGTCACTATACCTTACATAAGCTTATGTAGATGATCACACACGTTCCCGCACTTCTGCTACACTCCAAGTCATAGGTCTCACTCACACTCAAGGCGAAGGATTACACAAGATCATGAACACCAGGAGGCAGGGATAATGAGAGCCCCCTAAAATTTTTCAAATCTGGCCGGGCGCGGTGGCTCAAGCCTGTAATCTCAGCACTTTGGAGGCCGAGGTGGGCGGATCACGAGGTCAGGAGATCGAGGCCATCCTGGCCAACACTGTGAAACCCTGTCTCTACTAAAAAATACAAAACAAAATTGGCCGGGCATGGTGGCGGGCGCCTGTAGTCCCAGCTACTCGGGAGGCTGAGGCAGGAGAATGGCGTGAA